TACGGGAAAGGATGAAGCTGATTGGTTGGTTCTTGTCACATGACCCGCGGTGCGCTTGCGGCATTCTGAAAAGTTGAAATGTTTTTATCTCGATACGACGCAGAAGTGCCTGGAAAAAATGAGCGCGCCTGCCGCTCATTTGAAATAACAAACTTGAGCGCGCAAAAAACGCGATATGTGAACGGCCCCTTATACCGCGCTGTTTCGTCCCACTTTTGGGTCGTTTGGCTTCCCATAACTCGGTGTGAATCTGCGGCCAGGGATTCCAAATTCCATGAGAATTCATGATGGTTGAAAGGACTGGTTGAGAATTCACGAGAAAACAAAACATGAGAAACGTGCTATACTCTTTTGACACAATAGGAGATCTTTGTACCTCCTGCCACGAAGCATTCATGTAAGCAAAACGGCTCGTTTTATAATTGGACATCTGTGACGTCAGATGTATTGAAACACATACTGTGCTGCACACTTTTACAACATTGTTTTTCTATTGCAGTGGGTCTTTCCCTTGACTTTTCTCAGGTGCGCTGATATGTTTATTTATTTATTTTGTTTTTTTTTAAAGACCACATGCAACATTTTTTTCTAATGCAAAACTTTAGCGGGTATAATAGCTGAGGCGTACAACAAAATGGCAAGATTTACTTGTGTTTCCTAGGGCTGGGTATTGATACAGATTTATCGATTTGATTCGAGTCTGACTCGTTTTCAAAATAATGATCCCCCATGTTATTGTTTTTCATAAAAATAAATGATCTGTCGTATCATTCTGTAAATTCTACAGTGAACCTTCTAACGTCATACATTACGGAAATATTAATTAAAAAAATTAACAACAGGGTTGCTAGATTAGTAAAGAGTCTAAACAATTTACGCAACCGGCCTCTGCATGTTCTTTGAAATGAACGGTTCAAAGGAACCGATTCGCGGAAATGAGTCGGAGACTCGCTGAAGGCTGTTGTCCAATCAAAGAGCACAACGAGCAGAGTGGGCGGTGCTTCGCGTTGGCGGCTGTGTTTGCAACAGCACTAGATTCTGCTCAAATTCTATCTCATATTGAACAGTTTTGTTTTTTTTGTAATCATCTGAAATCGCACCAAAATCTAGTTTTTGATGACCTACGAAGAAAGTCAGCATGCAAACCGGTCGCTCTGCTTGGTAAATAGTGTCAGTGTTATATATGTTGTTGTGCTGTAAGCTGTGTTGCATAAAAAAGTGATCTGAATTCAGGAGGACGTAAAAATGAGGCTGGTAGAAGTGTGTAAGACCAGAGTTATTGTAGAATTATTGATATTACTGTTTTAGTTTTTATTGATATTTTAAATGCTTTCATATTTGAATTTTAGTTCAAGTTTTAGTCATTTGTTGTTTCTGCTTTTTGTTTTATTATTTATTTATTGTTACTTTAGGACATCAAGTTAAACTAAAAGAAAATGAGAAAGATTTATTTATATGTGTATATGTATATATATATATATATAGATGGATTTTTATATTTTCTTTTATTACTGTTAATGTTTATTTTATTTCAAGTAACAAATTCGTTTTTTGTGTTTTTGTTTTAAAGGGATAGTTCACCCCAAAATAAAAAAATTCTGTCATGATTTATTCACCCTCAGGTTGTTCCAAATTTGTATCCATTTCTTAAATTTCTTAATTTCTTCCAATGAGATTTTGAAGAATGTTGGTAGTAGGGCTGCAGTGCAATGAACGCATCAATATATAATATATAATTATTGCATCAATGAACGCGATATTGCGTAGCTTGTCAGTGAACTACGGCTCTTTGTAGTAAATGCCGCTCCTGAGGGTCGCATCTGAACGTACCTGATTGAGCTTTACTGATAATCACGGCTGGGCGATATGTCGAATATTAGCGATAATATCGCAATCATTTTGACGACGATTTAAAATATCGTGAATATCGAATATTTCAAATTCAAGCATACTTTCCCAAAAGAATGCGCCGAACATCCAGATAAGGAGACAACATGTTATTGCGGACTGCTCTACACGCCTCTAGCTTTCATGAGTGCGGTTGCCAAATATCAAGAGTTCAAATCCCCGAATCAGAGCTTCGCTGTTACAAGCATACATTTTCTGCCCAGTGTTTGCTTATTTTAAGCAATCTGGCAACCACGCGCACGCGCTCGCTCCTCATTGCAGAAGCGCCGCCGCCGATGATCTGAAAACACCAAAAAAACAAGCTGGAGTTTAGCGATCTAAATGAAAGCGTCACTCAACCAGTCTGTGTTCGGTCATGAGATCTTGACTGTATTGTTTGCGATTGTGATCGCTGAATAAATGCACTTACTCAACCGCTGTTGTTTGAATAGAGAAACACAGGCTATGGCAGTTTGGAATTACTATTAGGAATTTCACTGATATAATATTTTTCATTTGTTTTACCAGTTTTCATAATATAGAAAGAGAGAGTGCATAAGTCTTTGGTATTAATTTATATAATAAACATTTTGTATAACAATAACTTCTATCTAAATTGTTTTTGTTGTTTTTTTTAATGGGGGCAAAATAAATTCATGTTTTTTTGTTTTTTTTTAAAGCAAATGCAAACATATCGAGATATATATTGAATATCGTAAAAATTTGACAATATCGAGATATAATTTTTTTATATATATATATATATATCGCCCAGCCCTAGTGTGAACAAATTTCTAGAATGCGACTAAACAAATCAAGAGAAGCCAGCATCTAAACTCCACTAAATTCATGTTTTTTACTGATTTATTTTTATTTTACTTTAGGGGATAAATATTCAGCACAGTGGAAACAAAGCAAAATAAAACAATTCTCTGCACTAAATGTAAATAGTAGTTAATAGAAATAGTATTTGCACCTCAGTGTATTTTAGTTTTTTTTTTTTTTAAACAGTATGCAATAATAATATCATATTCAGTGCAGGATTGTTATAGTTAACTAAAACTATAAAAATGTTACTTGGAATATATTAAATGTTAACTGAAATAAAATAAATACAATTATTTTATAATAATAAAAACTATTTATACATATTTTTAAAAAACTATTAAAAATAACACACAACTAAACAAAACAAAAATGAAAACAGAAAATATAAAAATATAAAATATATAAAAATATTGATCCTTTTAACAAATTCACTGTATATAGTTATATTTATTAAAAAGACAAGCTATTTAAAAAGATAGATTAAATAGACACGCTGTAAATATTATGTAAAAGAAACGTCAATAAGTTTCTGTATTTTCTGTGATATTTATTATCATAAAATTATATGACAAAATACAGCCTCTTTATATATTGGCATCTCTAGATATCAGCATCAGACACAAGACAAACCCACATCAGTTGAGCTTTATATATGAAGTGTATGTATGTGTAAGTGTATTTATGTACTGTATATATGAAGTGTTGAGGGTTGGTTTTGTGTGTGTGTGTGTGTGGGTGGGTGTGTGTATCGAATATTTCAAATTCAAGCATACTTTCCCAAAAGAATGCGCCGAACATCCAGATAAGGAGACAACATGTTATTGCGGACTGCTCTACACGCCTCTAGCTTTCATGAGTGCGGTTGCCAAATATCAAGAGTTCAAATCCCCGAATCAGAGCTTCTCTGTTAAAAGGATAAATTTTCTGTCCGGTGTTTCTCTTATTTTTTGCAATCCGACAACCATGCGCACACGTTCACTCTTCATGAGTAACGAGTAAGCTGGAGTTCAGCGATCTCTATGTGAGATGTTCGGCTTAAATAAAAGTGTCATTCAGCCAGTCTGTGTTCGGTCATCTCGACTCATGAGATCTTGACTGTATTGTTTGCGATTGTGATCGCTGAATAAATGCACTTACTCAACCGCTGTTGTTTGAATAGAGAAACACAGGCTATGGCAGTTTGGAATTACTATTAGGAATTTCACTGATATAATATTTTTCATTTGTTTTTACCAGTTTTCATAATATAGAAAGAGAGAGTGCATAAGTCTTTGGTATTCATTTATATATATATATATATATAATATAAACATTTTGTATTTCCTTTTAACAATAACTTCTATCTAAATTGTTTTTGTTGTTTTTTTTAATGGGGGCAAAATAAATTCATGTTTTTTTCATTATTTAAAAGCATATGCAAACATATCGAGATATATCTCGAATATCGTAAAAAATTTGACAATATCGAGATATTTTTTTTAAATATATTGCTCAGCCCTACTAATCACAGAACCGGCTTTACTGACGAGATGCGCATGATCATCGCGTTCGATTATTTGCACTGCAGCCCTAGTTGGTAACCAAACAGTTAATGGTAGCCATTGACTTCCATTGTATCTTTTTTTCTATACTATAGAAGTCAATGGCTGCCGTCAGCTCAGACAGGTTTGTAACAACTTGAGGGTGAGTAAATCATGACAGAATTAAAATTTTTGGGTGAACTATCCCTTTAATCTTAGTTTTAGTTAAAGGGGTCATAGGATGCTACATGCACTTTTACAAGTTGTTTGAACTGAAATGTGTGTTGGCAGTGTGTGTACACAGCCACCCTAAAATGATCAAAATCCACCCAGTGTTTTTTTGTTCATCTGCTCAAATCTTTACCCCTTTCTCAAATAGAGCCCCTCCCACGATAGTTTGATTGACAGTAGCGTTTCAGCACAGACTGGACTGGTGTCTTACCTTAGCTCCGCCCTGAGTGACTGTCATCAGTCCGCCATTGTTTCACCGCCGGAGCAGATGTAGACAAGAATGACTCCTAAGTGCTCGAGGTGTTCTGTTGTTGGATGTAATAATGAACATAGCAGTCGTCATTTACTCCCGACATCTGAGCCGCTGAACTCGCAGTGGATTACACTGTTTCTGAAGGGAATGCGCCTCCGATCTACATAAATGCGTCCATGTTCGCGCGAATCATTCGTGATCCAGCTTCACCTACAGAAGAAGTGAGTGTAAGTTTTTTTTTAACGAATCTTTGCAAATCGACTTTCCTAATAATGTGCTAATTAGCAAGTTTCATGATGAATGCGGCTAAAGTAAACCGTCTCTCTGAGAGCAGCTCGGAAGAGAGGGGCGGGGTCAGCAGAGCTCATTAACATTTAAAGGAAAATGCTACAAAAACGGCTTGATCTGAAAAGAGAAAATTTGTTTTTTACACTACCATTGAAAAAATGTTTAGCCAAACTGTTACAGACTTTTCATTAAGACCCCAAAGAATCATATCAACTTGTGGAAAATGGGCATCCTATGACCCCTTTAACAATAACAACCCTGTTTCAGTCCTTAATTCTTTCTTGTGGTGTCTCCTGCAGAACGCATTTGAAGATGGAGGATATGGAGGTAGCTCCAGTGTCCAGTGAGGCCAGTGTGATTGTAGTCTCTGAGTCTGAAAGCAACACGGAGGAAGAGGATGTTCCCATGCAGGATCAAGGCCCATCTGAGCGACCCAGACTTTCAGCCCATCGGGCGATCAGGAGGAGACATATAATTGGGTAAGAGAACGGGTTAAAGCTCATAAAATTAAACGTGCATAATTTGTCCAAGTTAAAAGGGAATGCAAAGGGTTCACTTACTTTTCCTGCAACGACAGTATGGAGTCGCTGTATGACTCGATCTTTCTGGTGTCCCTCCTGTTTTCCAAGGACACATTCGCAGCTCTCCACACGTGAAGAGAGGATGCGCAGACTCCGGGAGCTCATCGCAGAGAATCTGGTAGAGCGGCTGAGTGGCTCCCAGGACACGCAGCGCTCCGTTCCTCACACAGATCCACCACCGCTGGACCCTGAACCCAGCTCCAGCCGCACCGCTGCTGCGGATGTGCAGACGTCTGATGAATCCAGCGCTGCAGGTCCACTGCTGTTTCATTTCTCGATTCATAACAGTTTTAGGTCAGATGTATATTTTCCCAGCTATCTTTTAAATGATTTAATTGTTAAGCTCTTTATAACAATCTACTACTAGAATTGCTGCTATCAGTATTGATAATATAAATTGACATAATAATCTTAAATTTAACGACTAAATATATAACATTGGGTGCATAATATATCATTAACATATAGCAGTATTATTTTCATTTACCATAATAATCGATATTGGATATAATTTGGCTTAAATTGAATATTTAATTGAATCGGTTGTTCCCTTTTTTACATTTAAATCACCTTAGCTGTCATCTGTCTCTGATTATTATAAACTGTTTTAAGTGTAACCGTATTTCATATTTCAACCTAAATATACATTTTCATGCATTATAATATTACGATGTCTAAAATTGTGCATTTTAGGTTTTTAATTTGTCTAAATGTATTTAAATATGTAATATCATCTAATATATAAATAAATCACAATGTCTAATATCATCTAACATAACAATAAATTCTAATATTTTATATCAGCTAAATAATTACAATTATTTTTATTGTTGCTGGCTAGATTTCTCATTCTGCATCCCTGTAAAAAGAAAAAAAAAAACTGGATGCACCAATGATTTACAGTTACAAAATGAACAATAAAATAGGAGATCAAACTCTACTAATTGATAATGAAATTTTTTTTGGATCTAGTCAGCCATATTTTTCACTCCTTTTCTGATCCTTAGAATTAAACCCTTTTTTACTCCTGTATCATTAAGACATGATGCCCTTTGTTATAATTGGCTAAGTTCTTTGCATATGAAGTGAAGCCATATGTTTTTGTATAATTCAGGGTCCAGTGTTTCTACAGAGGCTGAAGGGACGAGAGCAGCCGCTCATCCGTACGAGTCACAACAAGAGACTGAGGTGACTGATCGTTTCATATTGATGATTTGTCTTCAACTGTTGTGCCTTTATAGTAAATGATGTAAAATCATCAAAACGATGACTCTCTATCAAAGCGGCAGAATGTCTGGTTTCAGTTGGAAATGCGGCACATCATTGTGAATGCCAGTTGTCATTGGCTTCATTGTGACTTGTCTCTTCCCAGCCTGTGTCTGAGTCGGAGGATCCCGTCACCGCTGCTGCGAGTCCCGCAGGAAAGACCAAAGCAGATGATGCTGAGGGAGAGACCTGCTCCATCTGCTTTGAGCCCTGGACCACGGCAGGTGACCACCGCTTGGCCGCTCTTCTCTGTGGTCACCTCTTCGGCTATGTTTGTATCTCCCGCTGGTTGACGAGTGGAGGAAATAAATGTCCACAGGTGGGTTTCACAGTTTCAGTGAATGAACATTGTGCTAGAATAACAGGCCTGATTATCTGCTTCATTGAGTTATTTAAAATTACATTTGACCTGGATGCACCAATGATTTACAGTTACAAAATGAACAATAAAATAGGAGATCAAACTCTACTAATCGATAATGAAATTTTTTTGGGATCTAGTCAGCCATATTTTTCACTCCTTTTCTGATCCTTAGAATTAAACCCTTTTTTACTCCTGTATCATTAAGACATGATGCCCTTTGTTATAATTGGCTAAGTTCTTTGCATATGAAGTGAAGCCATATGTTTTTGTATAATTCAGGGTCCAGTGTTTCTACAGAGGCTGAAGGGACGAGAGCAGCCGCTCATCCGTACGAGTCACAACAAGAGACTGAGGTGACTGATCGTTTCATATTGATGATTTGTCTTCAACTGTTGTGCCTTTATAGTAAATGATGTAAAATCATCAAAACGATGACTCTCTATCAAAGCGGCAGAATGTCTGGTTTCAGTTGGAAATGCGGCACATCATTGTGAATGCCAGTTGTCATTGGCTTCATTGTGACTTGTCTCTTCCCAGCCTGTGTCTGAGTCGGAGGATCCCGTCACCGCTGCTGCGAGTCCCGCAGGAAAGACCAAAGCAGATGATGCTGAGGGAGAGACCTGCTCCATCTGCTTTGAGCCCTGGACCACGGCAGGTGACCACCGCTTGGCCGCTCTTCTCTGTGGTCACCTCTTCGGCTATGTTTGTATCTCCCGCTGGTTGACGAGTGGAGGAAATAAATGTCCACAGGTGGGTTTCACAGTTTCAGTGAATGAACATTGTGCTAGAATAACAGGCCTGATTATCTGCTTCATTGAGTTATTTAAAATTACATTTGACACTTTAAAATGTTTTAAAAAATTTTTTTGTTTTGTAAATAGGGATGTGATGAGTGGATCACAATTCATAAATGCAGCTATATTATCCTGTTTTAATTTTAAATAATTAAAATGATGTAAAACAAAACATCAACTTTAAGAAATATTTTAATAGTGCTGTCAAACGATTAATCGCATCCAAAATAAAAGTTTTTGTTTACATAATATATGTGTGTGTGCTGTGTATATTTATTATGTATGTATAAATACACACTCATACAGTCTATATTTTGAAAATATTTACATGTATATATTTATATTCTTATAATTTATATTATATATAAACATATTTGTCTTAAATATATACATGCATGTACTTGTATTTATATATGCATAGTAAATATACACAGCACACACACATATATTATGTAAACAAAAACTTTTATTTTGGATTAATCACGATTAATCATTTGACAGCACTAGTTATTAAGTATTTACATAACTGGCTGTAAAAATTCCCCAATGGAAATAAATGATCCTGTTTCAATTAACAAAAAATATATAAAACAAAACATTAATTTTAAGAAATATTTCAAATGTATTTTTACGTCTGACTGTAAAAATTCACAGATGCAGTTACATTAACCTGTTTTAATAAAAAATTTAAAAAAAAACAGCCAAAAAAAAGTATGGAAAGAAATTTGATTTCAGTAAACATTTTTAAAATATTTCCACGAGTGGCTGTATAAATGCATATGCACATTAAATAATTGTATTTTTCACTGTATTGTTTTAATGACGTTAATAGAAATGTTTATTAAACAAATGTTTAGAAACATAATTTCGAAGTATAATGCAAAACATTCTTCTGTGAAGTGCATTTGATCAAATATTGTAGATTTTGTGAAACTCCTTTCATAAAAAGCTGTTTAAAAATACCCCAGAATTAAAAAATTTTTATTTTATAAGAATATTTGTCATGTAATCTGTCAATAAAAAGATTTTGTGTCTCCTCAGTGCAATAAACCAGCCAAATGTGATCATATCATCTTTCTTTATGCACGGAAACTGAAAGCCCTGGACAACGCGGAGGAAGTGCGACTGAAGAGGTGCTCCAGTGAGAGCGTATTACTGGTTCTGCAGTTTTATCTTGATATATTTCCAGAATAGGCTTGTGCTGATGGTTTTGACTGTGTGCAGTCGTTTAGAGCTGGAGCAGGGCTCGCGGAGAATGGAGCAGCTGAAAGTCGCTCAGTGTCGTCAGCAGATGCAGCTCGTGGCCAATGAAAATGTGCGACTGCGCAAAGAGGTCGAGGTGTGTCTTTTTCAGGAGAAACTCTCTTTTATATCTCATGTGTCTTGGTACTAGTTATCTGGAACAGGGCTTTTCAAGCATTGTGATGCCAAATGTTTTTGTAAGAGACTCCCTTTCTTAAATATAAAGGCAATTTTATATTTTAACCTATTAAAATAAGTTTATACTGTGTAAAGAAGCATGGTGTTATAAAGACCGCATAATGTTTGCGAAATTTAATTGGCTTCTGTGTTACTGTTCTAAAAAAAAATTGAATTTGTATTAAGTTATGCTAAAGTTTTTCTACTCTTTATTAGAGTAATGTAATATATTAGTTTACAGTGTTTTCTGTAAAATAAGACTCCAACTTAAAATGAGAGGAAAAAAAACAGCCCGTAGCTATGTTTCCATTCAAAGATGCAAATTTAAGTAATGCGCAAAACTGGAATATCGCATAAAACCTTTGCAAATAAAGCACTTTTTCCATCCAACGAGTCAAAGAGAGCAAAATCATCACTTCCTGATAAACTGGCATTAAATATTACTAAGAAAAGTAGTAGAAGCGACGGAATCTAATCATTTTCATATATGATAAATTACGAAACGATAAATGCGGTCATTGCTTTCGGAGGTGGATGCTGCTGTTTGGGAACACAGTCGTGTAAGACAATTATACAGAAATACTTTGACGACAGACAGACTTTGCTCAGGCATTTCAGAACGACCAAAACGACATTTCAGATGCTGTGAAGGAGATCGGTCCGCTGGTTAGGCAAATGATCCCGTCTCATAGCGCAAAGTCACATGACTTTTTTTGATGCGCATAAAGGAATTTATTCGGTAAATGTGTCTGTGCACATTCTTTCTTATTGTACAAAAAGTTTATCCTACTCAATTGTGTGCATATGTTTTTTTATTCAAATTTTTTTTAATTTATGCGCATCTCGTGTTTCCGTCCAGCGTTTTTTTTTTTAATGCGATACCCCAAAATGCGCATAAAAATAGATGGATGGAAGCATAGCTAGTGTATACGCAAGTTTTACTATTACTTTCAGAAATAATGTAAATAAATTTAAAATAAAAACTATGTTTATAAACGTAGTAAATACAAATATAAACGTGTCGTAGTTCCCTTCATTTCACAACTCAAGTTCTTTAAATTTAACGGTATTCAGAATAGGAATAAAAAAATGTATGTATAAAACAAATCTAAACTATAGTGACTTTCACAAGTTGGCTTTTCTTCACCAAAATGTTTTACATGCTTGACGTTAATTGCATTACGTAACTTTGATTTATAAGTCTCAACATGATTCAGATATTTAAAAAAAAAGAGCTTACTGTATAAGCTGTATTCCAGGAAATACTGTATTTTTTTAAACTAAAAAATGTTGTTCCAATTTGCTGTTTTTTTAACTAAAAATATTAATATTTTGTATATCGATTATGTATTTATGTTGATTTTTGTTTTGTTTTGTTTCATACTGTTTAAAATTTGAGCTTTCAGTAGAACAATTATTGTTTAATTAAGAAATAATGGTTTTTGACCAGTCTTTGGAAAGCAGAATGAAAAATAGTTATATTACAATTTTGGTAAATGTTTAAAAATGTATTATGTAAGCATATTTGATAGTTCACCCCAAAATGAAATGAAATGAAAATTGAAATGAAAATTTCTAGAGAGAGATGGGGGGGGGGACTTTCCATACAGTGAAATTCAATGGGGTCCAAAAACCCATATCTAGAAAGAGTGGCGTGGCCGATTTAATTTTGTTCAATTTAATGTCAACAAATGAGAGCCACATATTATGAGCTTCATGATCATGTCTCTAGTGGAAATTCTTTCTTATTGTACAAAAAGTTTATCCTACTCAATTGTGTGCATATGTTTTTTTATTCAAATTTTTTTTAATTTATGCGCATCTCGTGTTTCCGTCCAGCGTTTTTTTTTTTAATGCGATACCCCAAAATGCGCATAAAAATAGATGGATGGAAGCATAGCTAGTGTATACGCAAGTTTTACTATTACTTTCAGAAATAATGTAAATAAATTTAAAATAAAAACTATGTTTATAAACGTAGTAAATACAAATATAAACGTGTCGTAGTTCCCTTCATTTCACAACTCAAGTTCTTTAAATTTAACGGTATTCAGAATAGGAATAAAAAAATGTAAGTATAAAACAAATCTAAACTATAGTGACTTTCACAAGTTGGCTTTTCTTCACCAAAATGTTTTACATGCTTGACGTTAATTGCATTATGTAACTTTGATTTATAAGTCTCAACATGATTCAGATATTTAAAAAAAAAGAGCTTACTGTATAAGCTGTATTCCAGGAAATACTGTATTTTTTTAAACTAAAAAATATTGTTCCAATTTGCTGTTTTTTTAACTAAAAATATTAATATTTTGTATATCGATTATGTATTTATGTTGATTTTTGTTTTGTTTTGTTTCATACTGTTTAAAATTTGAGCTTTCAGTAGAACAATTATTGTTTAATTAAGAAATAATGGTTTTTGACCAGTCTTTGGAAAGCAGAATGAAAAATGGTTATATTACAATTTTGGTAAATGTTTAAAAATGTATTATGTAAGCATATTTGATAGTTCACCCCAAAATGAAATGAAATGAAAATTGAAATGAAAATTTCTAGAGAGAGATGGGGGGGGGGACTTTCCATACAGTGAAATTCAATGGGGTCCAAAAACCCATATCTAGAAAGAGTGGCGTGGCCGATTTAATTTTGTTCAATTTAATGTCAACAAATGAGAGCCACATATTATGAGCTTCATGATCATGTCTCTAGTGGAAGTAAAGCATCCTTGCTGCTGTATTGTGTGTTTGTTCTGTAGGAGTTGAGGAGGTGGAGAGCTCAGGCGTTCGGCTCCTCTCAGGGAGCGTATCTCTCGTCGTCCCAGAGGCAGGTCTCGTCCAGTGGGGGACATTATGTCTTCTCTAAGGGTGTGCTGGTTTCTCAGACGGGGGGCAGTAGGGTTCTGTCTTACTGCGAGCCTCTCGGCTGCCTGCTGGCGTCTCAGCCTTCTCCACAAGCAACCTTGGTGCCAGGTAGGAATTTGAGCTCTTCCACATTGATTTTTTCCCTTGCGTTGTTTATATAAGCAGTGATTGATTGATCGCCGCTCTCTCAGGCTTCGGTGTGAAGAAGATCAGCACTGCGACTCTCAAGCCTAGTCAGTATGTTCCCATCCACTCCAAACAGATCCGAGGTCTGGCCTTCAGCCGACACCAGGACAGCCTTCTGCTGTCTGCGGCCCTCGACAACACAATCAAACTCACCAGGTGAGAGACTCTCTCGTCGTCCCAGAGGCAGGTCTCGTCCAGTGGGGGACATTATGTCTTCTCTAAGGGTGTGCTGGTTTCTCAGACGGGGGGCAGTAGGGGTCTGTCTTACTGCGAGCCTCTCGGCTGCCTGCTGGCGTCTCAGCCTTCTCCACAAGCAACCTTGGTGCCAGGTATCGAATTTGAGCTCTTCCACATTGATTTTTTCCTTTGCGTTGTTTATATAAGCAGTGATTGATTGATCGCCGCTCTCTCAGGCTTCGGTGTGAAGAAGATCAGCACTGCGACTCTCAAGCCTAGTCAGTATGTTCCCATCCACTCCAAACAGATCCGAGGTCTGGCCTTCAGCCGACACCAGGACAGCCTTCTGCTGTCTGCGGCCCTCGACAACACAATCAAACTCACCAGGTGAGAGACTAATGCTTTCCTCCTGTGTAATAATTGTGTGTTTGCATTACATGTTCTATTACAAAATATTTAAGAGCCAGCAAAGCACACCAAGTTACACCTGCTATAATTAAATGGCATATAAAACACAAGGCTGGGAATTAATTTGACACTGACTGATAATATCATTTATGCTGATTAATCGGCATCGACTTTTAGATACATAAATAGTTTTTTGGTTCTGTTCTTACAAAATACACTTCATGTAGTTCTGTTCAAAGGACCGTAAGAGCAAGGTAAAATATATAAATAAAATCTATGTATCTATAAATCGATATACATCTGAAAAATACAGTATAATCGTCATATGAGTGCACATGCTGTAACTAACATTTAACAACAAGAAAAAAAAAATTTGCTAAATTTTTCTTGTGCATATTTATATTTCATGTCAATAAAATTTAAAATAATGTTTTTATAGCCTATAGCCTTCACTTTAGAGGATTTGTTGTGGAGAGAAGCAAACCAATAACTGTTTAGATATGTATACTTTTCTAGGCAAACCGGTTTCAGAACGGTAAAAATACAGAGGAACGCAGGAACAGAAATGTTAAAATATTTTCAAAATATATGCGGTATGTGTGTGTCTTTATATATACATAATAAATATACACAGTACACACATATTATGTAAACAAAAACTTGTTTTGGATGTGATTAATCGTTTGACAGCACTAAACATTTTTTTATTTTTTCGAAACATTCTCATGATAGGACATTGTTAATTTTAGAATAAATAAATTCAGCACTAATTTTCATTTCAATTTTTTTTTTTTTTTCTTCATATTACTGATTTTTTTTTTTTTGACCAATTTGTAAATTATTGGCCAGGTATTCCAACATAGTTATTGTTATCAGCAGGGTTATTAAAGTAAACTAAAACTAAATCCATAACAACATTTTTTTTTACTTGAAATAAAATAAGAAATAAAACTGAAATAAAGTCAAATAAAAAAAAAAAAAATACTTGCAATGCAGCATCTCATTTACTACTAAAATAACTCAAACTAAAAATAATTTAAATAGTTCATAAAAAAATAAAAACTATACAGTATTAAACATAAATAATCTAATAAAAGTTACCATAACGCAACAAAATTACTAATATTTTATTCAAAATTAAAAAGAAAATATACAGATAAAGTCCAATTTAAAATACTTACAAAATCTATAATAGTATCTCAATGATCGTCAAAATCCAGTATCCATCGACCTCTAGAATCTCTTTCCTGATTAGATTCTGATTCAGAAGCTCTAGGTTTGATTCTGTTTCATTTTGACTGTAATCTATAATCAGATGTATCCGTTGTGATGTCTGTTCTCTCTGTTTAATGCTGTAAACAATACAGGGAAACTGATTCAAACCAGTAACGTCTTTTGAACAATTTATTAAACCAGAATCAGACGAGACTAGTCAATAGTTATTTTATTGACTAAAAAGAAGCAGTTGGTAAGAATCATCTGTTAGTGAATCAGACTACATTGGTCATGCTGTAGGTTTGTTTGTGCGTGCAGCCTGCCTGGATTATTTTGTTGTATACTCCTTTTTATTGGATTACTTTCAGTGCAGACTTGTGAGATATGATTATTCTTTCTGGGTGTGATTTTACTGCTCAGAAACTCATAATAATGGAAATGTTGATGTCTCGTGAATGTAACGACAGTTTTTAGTTGGAAAATGCTTGAACGCAAATCCCAGATGATATTTTTTATGCACCAAAAACCAATTCTAATTTTTCATCAGCCTCTGAACATAGCATGTTGAGCCTCTTCTGAGTTGCTCCATGTGGATGTTTTGTTCACAGTCTGATGACGAACACGGTGGTTCAGGCCTACAACACGGGCAGACCTGTGTGGCTCAGGAGTGTTTGAAAGCCGCGTCTATCAGCAGATCCCTAATATATCTGCACATAGATGGATCCGCGCTGATACGCCTACTTTCAAACGCCCTTGTGTGCTTCTGTATGAGCACTCGGTGAAGAGCGTGAAGCAATGATCATGTTCGCCAATCACAGTCATATCTGTTGAGCACGTGAATACAATGGCCAATCAGCAGTGTTTAAGAATCCGCTCAACAGCGCTCAAATGTTAGTGGGAATTGGACATTTTTACAATTTCTGTACTGACTTTTGACAACACTACTTACAAGGCATACTAGAAACTTCCAGGTAGGTTTGTTGAGGCAAGTTGGAGCTAAACTCTGCAGGACAATGGCCCTCCAGGACCGAATTTGGACACCCCTGCTTTTGTGTGTCCTCAGTCTGGCAACTCACGTGAGCATTGAGTCTGAGGACGAGCAGATGGGAGAAACAACTCTCTCCAATATTTTGAATTTGGACTGCAGTACCCATTTCAACCACTTGTCATATTACATACTGCACCCTTAAAAGTGGGGTTTAAAATGATGATAACAAAGGGGTTCAGCACAGGGTAAGCACACGATAGTCCACTTTAGACAATCTACTAACTATAAGTAACTTTGCACATACATGTCAACTTGCAGTCATTAGTATTAGTAAACTGCCTGCTTAATATCTTCTAACACTTTATTTTGATTGTCTCCTAACAGACATTCTACTCACTATAAGTACTACAGGTGGGTGTTAGGAGTTCTGCTGAAATGATTTTACAATATATAGATTTTTAGGCCTGTCAGAGTTAATGTTGATTAGACTACAGGATTTAACAATATCTTTCTTTTTATATTGACAGTCTTGCTTGCAACAGTAAGAAAACAAATCTGCTTATAGTTGGCTGAAAAAAAATGCTAAATACTACTAACAGTTGATCTCGTCTTCCTTGTGACGTACACATTCAGTAATATTTTTGAGTGTATCTAATAAAAAAACAAATTTGGCGAAGAGCACGCAGAAATAGACATGAAGGCTATATCTCTGCAACGCTTTAGTGTATTCAGATCAAATATGGTTTGTGTTATGACTAGTGTTGTCAAAAGTACCGACTTCGGTACTGCAATTTAAAAAAACGCTGATTGGCTATAGTGTTCACGCGCTCAACAGATATGACTGTGATTGGCTACACTCAGGAGTGTTTGAAAGCCGCGTCTATCAGCAGATCCCTAATATATCTGCACATAGATGGATCCGCGCTGATACATGCGGCTTTCAAACACTCCTGTGGGCTTCTATGTGAGCACTCGGTGAAGAGCGTGAAGCGATGATCATTGTAGCCAATCACAGTCATATCTGTTGAGCGTGTGAACACTATAGCCAATCGGCGGTGTTTAAGGGTGTACTCACACTAGGCACGGTTCGTTTAGCCGGTCCTGGCCCGGTTGGAAGAGGTGGGCCAGGGCACGGTTCGGTTGGGCTCGGGCGCGGTACGCATGCAGTGTGAGCGCTAGCCGCAGCGGAGCACGGAACAGATACTATTTTGTGTGCGCTACTGTCATCATTACGACCGCAAACATATTCTATTACTACTACTACACTACACTTTTCAATTAATTTAATTTAATCAAGTATATTTAGGTTTATAATGGCTCTGGATCTTACCTTGTTGATGAACAGGAAATGTAGCTTGCGAGTAAATCTGCAAATTATTTCATTAACGTCAGCTGCCGCCGTAATAATTTTCTGAAACATACAAGTGAAAATGCACTGCATAAATTATAAATTTATTATTATTAATTATTCGGCAGAATATTAGCGAAAGTGGTTTTCTCCGTTATCTCATACATGACGTAAACGTGCTCCGGGCCGGAAAGTTTAGTGCAAGTGAGTGCAGGCCAGCGGGGGAGGGGGGAGGGGGGATAATCGCGCTCGGGCTCGGTTCAATAAACGGTACACCATAAGAATACGTTCAACAGCACTCAAATGTTAACGGGAAATGGACGTTTTTAAAAACACTAGTTATGACAACCATGACCTGAGGTTTCCTATGTAGTTTCAGCACAGCACCACCTAGTGATCAGGAGATGTGAAAAATGACTGTTTTTGCTAATAACTTCTGAACAGTTTGGCCAAAAATCACAAGACTGGTCTCGTAAGATTCGGTGAAGCATATCGAAACATATATTGAAGCATTTTTTGTATCTCTCTTGTTGAAAAGCATCAATAAATATTTAAACCAACACCCATAATAGCCATTTTGATATTATTAGCATTTAGTGTAGATCTACGGTTTATTTCTATATAAACAATTTTTTTGAGAAATATAATATAATATAATTTCTTTAAAAATACATAAAATGCAATTTATACATACCGTGATGTAAATGTGAGAATTTTTTGTCATTGACCCTATAGTTAAAAAAATCTAATGGTATTAAAATATATTGTCTAATATACTTTTATTTTATTTACCTTGTAATGTTTAATCAAACTCAAACTTTTGGCGAACTTTTTTTTTTCCCAACGTTTTTTTCTGCGCTACTTTTCTTTTCTTG